TTTAAACTCAGAATTTTACTATGACAACCCTCAAATTGAATTTGATTTGGAAGTTACAAATGAGTTGTATGATTGTATCAAAAGGTTGGTGCCAAGTCGGGATGTGCAACAAAGCATACTACTTGAATTACCAATTTATAAGAGCGGTGGTGGTCTCTTTGGGTCCGATTTTGCAAAATCACAAAGAAAAAACATTGCTCCCGGTAATTCATCAAATTCTTCAATATTTTAATTTTAAGGTTATACTTCATCTTTAGAGTTATAATTTATCTTTCATTTTATAGCTCAATGGTGGGGAATGTATGGACATTCAGCTCCACATATGCAGCAACTAGCTATCAAAATTTTGAGCTTGACATGTAGTGCATCTAGATATGAACGCAACTGGAGTGTTTTTGAGCAAGTAATTTCTTATCTCTCGAGCCTAATACTTTTTTTGGAAATTAGAAAGAAACTAATTAATATTCTTATAATTAAAACTCACGTTGCAGATTCATTCAAAGGAGAGAAATAGACTTGATCACAAAAAATTACATGACTTGATTTATGTGAAATACAATCAACAACTCAAAGAACATTACAATCTTAAAGATGTAATTGATCTAATTACACTCAATGATATTGATGAGTGTAATGAGTGGTTGGTTGGAGAAATGGATGATGATGCTCTAGATAAGGATGCTGGAAATGCTTAGTTTTTGATGGTGAAAACACTTTAAATTAGGCAACTGTTTATGAAGCTTCTGGAATTGGAGAGCCTACAACATATACTAGGCATCATTCTAAGAAAAGAAAGAGTCCATCAAGTGGTATCAATATCAAAGCTGCAAAAGTTTCCAAAATCAAGGCATGCTCAACAGTAAAAGGAAAAGAGAAAATGGTTCTTGAAAATGATGATAAAGAATTAGAAGATGAAGAGATGTCGGAAGAAACAGAAGATGAATTAGAATTTAATCTTCCACAATCTGAAGGAGAAGAGGAGGAGGGATATGCCTTGGTGGATGAGAAAGAGGATGATTATGTTGGAGTTGAAGAAGAGGACTAAATTGATAATCTTTATTTTTATTGTTAACTTGACATTTGATAATTGGATATTTTGTATTGAATTATACTTTGGATTGGAGGTTATGCGACATATATTTTGAGTTAATTATTTTCTGTAACCTATAGTATTTTTTTATATATTTTATTATATCTGCCATAACCTGCCATGGCGGCCGACATAACTTTATGGCAGTTTTTTGAGTTTCCGCCATGAGCCGCCATCTGCCATTGATAACATTGACTTTGAGCCACATAAGAAGCAGAGTAAGGGTGTTTCAAGGCCATAAAATGAGGTGTTTTGCTTAATCTATCAATAACAACAAAGATGACTTGTTTACCAAAGGATTTAGGCAATCCCTCAATGAAGTCCATGGTGATGTGCTGCCATACTAGCTCAGGAATAGTTAAGGGTTGTAACAGTTCAGGGGAAGCTGTATTGTCATATTTATTTTGCCGACACATAACACATTGGTGCACAAATGATTTCACATCCCTAGACATTCCCTTCCAATAGACAACTAATTTAATTCTCTGCAAAGTGGCATCCCTTTCAGAATGACCTCCACAAGCAGAAGCATGAATCCATAACAGTATATCAGTCTTCAACTGCATATCCTTTCCAACCACTAATCTCCATTTCCTTCTCAGTTCTTCCTTCTGCCATGAATAATGCTTATGAGAAGAGCTACTGGATTGCAATTCTGCAATGAGTCTTTGTGCTGCTGGATCAGTTTGCCATGACTATTGAATCCTAGTAAGCATATCAGAATCAGGTTGATGGATGGCTACTGCATTACATTGGATATGTTCAAGCCTTAACAAAGCATTTGTTGCCACATTCTCATGTCCCTGTCTATATTCAATATGAAAATCAAATTCTATCAACTTGACTAACCATTTTTGTTGAAAGGCAGTTGTAAGCCTTTGGTCTAAGATATATTTCAAGCTTCTATGATCAGTCTTGATGATGGATTTTCTGTTAAGCAGATAATGTCTCCATTTCTGGACTTCAACCACTACAGCCAAAAGTTCTTTTTCATAAGTGGATAAGGATTGTTGTTGCTTATTTAAACTTCGACTAATAAATGCAACGGGATGGTGATTCTGCATGAGGACAGCTCCAATCCCCTGTCCAGAAGCATCAACCTCTACTACAAATTCTTCGGAAAAATCAGGTAAGGCCAAGACTGGTGCCTGTATGAGCTGCTGTTTCAACTGAAGAAATGCTTTCTTAGCTTGAGGAGTCCAGCAGAAATTATCCTTTTTCAACATTTCTGTCACGGACTTAGTAAGAGAACCATATCTGCTAACAAATCTTCTATAATAACCCGCCAACCCTAAAAAACTTCTTAGCTGCTTTAGTGTTTGCGGTAATGGCCACTGTTTTACAACTTTTATTTTTGCAGATCAGTAGAGACACCATCTCTAGAAATGAAGTGTCCGAGATATTCAACTTTAGTAACAACGAAATAACATTTAGAGTTCTTAGCATATAAGGAATTAGCCCTCATTGTCTGTAAGACCCTGTGTAGGTGAACAAGGTGATCTGTCATGCTTTTACTGTATATTAAGATATCATCAAAAAACACTAGCAAAAACTTCCTCAAATACTCCTGAAAAACAGCATTCATCAGGCCTTGAAAAGTTGCAGGTGCATTTGTAAGACCAAATGGCATGACCAGGTATTCATAGTGCCCACCAGGAGTCTTAAATGATGAATGTCATCTACATCCTTTCTCACCTGATTGTATCCAGACCTAAGGTCAATTTTGGAGAACACCATTGAACCATGTAACTCATCCAATAGATCATCCGCGAGAGGAATTGGAAACTTGTTTTAACCCTTCCAAGAAACAGCTTAATTGGTGTTCTTCAGATTCAGATAATTCCACACGTGACACAATAGAATCGAATTCTTCATGATAGTCTGCAGTAGAACTTTTCTGTCTTAGCTTCAACAAGTCTGCCATTGGATCCTCACAAATTTTCCCAAATCTATCAAGCAAGATTTCTGTATATTCAAGCCAAGATGGTAAATTTTCGAACCCCACGGTTTTCACATAAGGCACTATGCCATTAAAGTGCCTTTCCTTTGAAATGTACCATTGCTAACCTCACTTTATAATCATCAGGTGTGTTATCAATAGAAAAGAAAGTCTCACACTGGATTAATCGTTGTTTAACCCCATCGTCGTTAAATCTTGGAAAATCTAAACATGCCAATCACGTATTGCAAGAATAGGAAGAAGATCTCCCACCTCGCTTTGGACTTCCAGACCCAGAAGGTGGTGGATTATCATGTGCATGTTGCTGAAACAGTTCTTGCATGTTTTGGATCAAGGTTCGCAGCATTGATGCTGCAAGTTTCATGAATTTCGCATCCATCTTGGTGCTAATGCGTTCTTCAGCTTCATGGACATATGCTTCAATGCGCTTGTTTTCCGCCATGAATGATTGCGAAGGAAGGACTAGTTTGATACCAATTGATGTAGATGGAACTAGGAATAATGGATTTATTCGAAGAACCAAGAGAACAAGGGAGTTCAAGATAGAGAATGAACTTTAATGTGAATATGCAATATTATTGAAGAAGAGGGTTTACAAGAATTCGATATATTTTGTTGAATGAATGGCATTTCTCAAACCGTCCTATTTATAACACCTCACTATAACAGACTCTCAAATTTACAATAGAATTAGAATTTACACGTGTCCTAATTTCTATCATATTACTAATCAATGGATGACAACAATCTACATGTGTCCTAATTTCCATCATACTACTAATCAATGGATGACAGCTCCTATATCAGGAATACTTAAATATAAGGAAAAGAATTTGATAAACTAATCTAATATACAGAGTGAGTTACCATCTGATGTAACCCTCTGTCGTATATATCATAACCCGACAAATAAGATATTCAAAAGATATGGTGTCACACTCCATAATTAAGAAGATGGAAGTGATAAACCAACAGCAACCCAAGGAAGCACCCTTGAGAAGATGAACAGTTTGCAAAAGAACCAAAGGAGAAAAAACCTCACTTGTTTAGAAGAGATTGAAGCCACCCACTTGTTTTTGTTTGATTACAAGGGCCCGAGACTATTCTGGGGCTACAGTGGTCGAGTTGGCTTGATTATCCCGCTTCAATGAGTTGGAATTCCAATAAAACTTTGTTTGCAGATGCCATAACTATTCACCTTGAGGACAAGGCAAGTTAGGGAGGAGTATTATTCAGTAACTTCATTAGTAGTTAGTTACAATTGGTTAGTTAGTTTGGATAAGTTATGTTGCCTATAAATAAGAGAGGAAAGAAGGGGGGGGGGGTGGATTAGGGAGGTACCCTCAAAAGTTTTGTACTATATTCAAGGGAGAGATCCTCCTTACTCTTTCCAAAAAAATACGAGTTTTCCATTGGCTTGGTTCTTGACTTTCTTTCTTTTTTGTAACACTTGTTTTTTGAGCGAAGAAAAGCCTCTTCTCAAATGGTCAAAGTCATGCAATGAGGGGGCATCAACTTTATCTGTTGTTAAGTGTTGAAGGGTTAAAACTACTCAAGCATTTCTCCTAGTTACGAATGAATTTAGAGAAGTAGATAACTATACATGAAAAATTAAGAAAATATTTAATTTTTATTGTTCTAATTAAAGGAGAAAAGGAATACTCTCTCTAGCCTTGAGGAGTATTCTAGATTCATTGTTCAAGTCAAGAGTACTACTCTGTCTAGAACAAGCAGAAACTCTTGATTACTTGTTTAGAGCGGAGCCTTCCTCTTATTTGAATAATCAACTGCCAGTTAAATGCCCAAATAATAAATAAAGAACGATTTTGTTTGTTTCTAACATTGAGTTGAGTGCATAATATAATTGCTTAACTGAACTAGGTTTGAACATATTCAAACTTTTGATTGCTTCCAAAAAGTAGTAGTGATTTCTATTGCTGTTTTGTGTAGGAAGTGTTAAATCACCCTTGAAATTGTCCGAGGAGGAATGGGATCATGTTTTCAAGACTAACTTAACTGGTTGTTGGTTGGTGTCAAAATATGTATGCAAATGCATGTTAGATGCCCATATCAAGGCTTCAATTGTTAATATTTCTTCAGTTGCTGGTTTAAATCGTGGACAATTGCCTGGGGCTGCTGCCTATGCATCTTCAAAGGCAGGTGTCAATATGCTGACTAAGGTAATAATATTCTGTGATTTATGACTTTTCTTAAAACCAGAGCACCACTTCCACTTTTATTTCTCTCTCAGACTTTCTTTTGGATTTCTTAATAATTTTATTTGATCATTCCATTATAGCAAAAAGTAAACAAAATCATGATTATGAGACCTTTTTGTCGTATTGTGATGTGTACATTACAGAATTTGATCTATCTGATTTATCAGGGTTATATAGAAATGGAAAATTTGCCAATATTCAGATGAAAGTTGACATTAGAAATTGGTCTAGCATGGGTCCGTCGTCTGTTCTATCTCTACAGATAGCATATTTTGCTTATAATAGTATCGAGCTCCTTGGTCTTATCTCCAAGCCATTTTATTTCTTGAAGGCACATGATATTAATCCTTATGTGAACCATTGTGTCGACCACTTCCGGTGACTTTCCTGTCAAAGTATCAAAATTCCATGAACTAAACTGAAACATATGTTCTTAGACTAAATTCTGTACTACTCACATTTGTCCAACCAAATGTGAGAACCCTTACTCGTTTAACACTACATTCAGGCGCCAATGTAGCAACTCTAACACTATAACTGAGTCATACAATGCATTACTTCTAGGTAACAGCCTAGCCCCCCTTGCCCAATATCATCGTGAGTGATTCATGTAGAAGGTTTCAACAAATTTTACGTTGGCTGCTGAAGGTCTAACACAACTCTTTTCCTTTACCAGTGTATGGGACCGGCTATGGGGCCATAGGTGTATTTAGATTGCTATCATACAATGCTAGAAATATTCAAGAGATCCTAGCTACTCTCAGACGCAAGCTTTTCCACTCACAAAACACTGCAATTCTCCTAACTTTGACCTTTATAACAAGCATCCCTTGTAACTACCTCCTAATTATGAACTAACTGATTGTTTCACTAGCTTGAGCCTTAACATTTACTGGTCCACTCATCCTTTCCCTAGAATATACTCATTTTATTATGGGTGTATTGATATCAGATGCATACTGTAATAAGGAGGAGGTGATAAGCATTAGGTGTAAATTAATTTTATGGATTCTCCTTTTAATTATACTTAAGACTTCAGAAGTTCAAGTGCTACATTTTACAAACAAGTAGAAAAGAATTTCAATTCTGCAATATTGGTATAACCATATAAGAACTTGCGGATGGAATATTTGCAGTGAGTATTTTCCGTATGCATTAAGGTAATGAGCTATGAATAACTTCCTAATCTTTCCCTATTCAAGTGTTATTGAAATCAATCTTATTGTCAAGTCCATAATATGATGTAGTGATTTTTAAATAATACGATATAGTGTTACTTGTGGCAGTGTGCTCCAAAACTGTAGTACTTAAGTGTTTTCTTTTCTCTGTCATTCACAAATTAGAAGCATATTTGGATTCACGGGTTTTGTTCTTAATGATTAAACAATTGCATGTCATTAACTTGTGTAATGGTATTTGACAGGTTATGGCTCTGGAATTGGGGGCACACGGAATCAGAGTGAATTCCATATCCCCTGGAATTTTCAAATCTGAAATCACTGAAAAATTATTGCAAAAAGATTGGCTGAATGATGTGGTAAAGAAAATAATGCCTATGAGAAGATTAGGTACTTCGGATCCAGCATTAACATCTCTAGCTCGTTATCTAATTCATGATTCTTCTGAGTATGTAACAGGCAACAATTTTATCGTCGATTATGGAGCGACCTTAGCAGGTGTGCCAATTTATTCTTCTCTATGAATTGTGTACATTGTACACTAACCAAAAGTAATACCAATGAGCTATTTTATTATATATCTTCAAATTATATATGTATGTGGAGTGTCTACTGCCTTGTTGATATGTCCATTACTCCGTTATGTTCTTATTGTACAAATGGTCAAACTGTAATCTATGATAGTTTGAACCCACAAATATTTGTCTCTTTGACGTGGTTGGCCTATCTGAACTTTACAGGTGAATGGAGTTATTGCTGATATTTTCTTCAATTTTAAATTGTAAAGAGGGGAAATTCAATACATTAAAAATGTCCCATAGATTATAACTTAGGACTTGATTACAAGTGAAGGGACTAACATCTTGGTGGTAATTAAAATTCAAACTTTGAATAAAGAAGTAGAGAAGGATCTTCGAAATGTTTTTAATAAAAGAAAACTTTTATAATGAATGAGGTGATCAAAAGGAATTCTAATCCACAATTATATATGACAGATTTGTTCACCTTTTTACCACCTCACCTTAATTGTTTTATCTTTTCATGCTTATGTAAATATATAGTTTTTTAATAATTGTGAGAATTTGGCCTGTTTGCACTGCTGGCAAAATTAATAGTAGCCTAACAGTATTGGAAGAGATTGACTTATTGTCACTTAATTAATGTTTTACTATTCCTGTTATTCTCGGATTATAAAGGTTGATGCAAGGATTAAAAATATCTCATGTCATGAACATATTATCAAAAAGTGAGATAAGGACAAGTTGATCCCCTGAGAAAAAGTTAGAAATAATGTTCTGAGATGAACTTTGTTCTGTAATAGTTGAAACTAGGCTAATTTATTTAAATAATACATTTTTAAAAATAAATTCTTATGATAGGAATTTTCTTAAAACTGATTTTCTGTCTAGTGTAATTTTTGACCAAGTCAGCAACAATATCACACTTGCTGATTGCATAATTTTTATTAATATTTAATATACTTTCATTTCCTGTCAACCAATAGTGGTTCATAGCTCGACATGTGGCAGAGAACGACCAATATCACCACAATAGGAGTGGTAGACATTGGACAGTTTAAATATTGACATGTGTCGTTTGCAGGGTAGTGTCGGAAGGTCAAGGATGCTAGTTATGTCCTTGGTCAAAGTGTGATAGCACTATCAGTTGTCAGAGTGATACTATTTGTTGGATGACTTGTGTCATGATATATATATATATATACTCCACAAATGTATGAATTATTTACAACAGAAGAGAGAAATAAACTGGAGAGTGATATTAAGGTTAGTTAAATTTATAGTTTTATGTTTTTTAATTTTTTTATTATGAATTTTAATTATTTCTAATTTAAATAAATGTAAGGTTTTATTTGGGTTTTTAATTATATGAAAATTAATTTTTTTAATTGGTAGTTAAAATAAACTTGTATTAGTCTGATAGAAATTTTAGTAAGAAGGAAAAAAATATATAAATATTGTCAAGAATTTATTTAGATATTAATGTAGTAACTTATTATTTATAAATGATAAAAATTTTGATATATTATTTAAAAATTACAAAATTGTGGAGACAAATGTAGAGATGTAAAATAATTTCATAAAGAAAATAAATTATTTTATAATTTAATGTAATTTTGCAGTAGTTTATTTAAAAAAAGTATTAAAATGCTATTAAAAAATAAAATTATTTGAATAAAAATTTATAAACTATGAAAATATGATTTCGGCATATAAGATTATTAATTTCTACGAAAAATTATGGAAAATTGTATTTGTGTTTTAAATATGAAATTAATAGTGTTACAAAAAATCAAATATGCTTACGTTCATGAAATGTATAAGTGATTTAAACAAAATAATAATGCATATAAAGTTATTGTGTTATTTATGTTAATATTTAAATATAACTATACTATTTTTCTTGATTTCAAATTAAAGAAAAAGGTTAAAAAGTAGATTAATTTAGTATTATTTAATGAAGCATGGTAGGGTATAATTCATTATTTGTGAATTATGTTACTTTGTACTTTAAAAAATAAAATAGATATTGTAGAGAAATTTTTTTCATTATATGTTTGTTTGATGTTAAGTTTATATGATTTAGGATGAATTTGTTAATTTTTACTAATTTAATTTGTTGATGCAAGATGACTGATTTTGTGATAATAGTATATTGAAATGGTCAAATATTTTTAAATAATGAAGGTGTTACCTTTGAAGGACATAATAAAATGATTAAAATTGAATGTGAAATAAGTTTTGAGACTTTGAATGAAAAGATTCATAAAAATTGAAATTGTCTACTAATCAGGTTATATCTAGATTGATTTCATGAATTTTAGTAGACTTAATTGGTAGACAATACACTAGTGAGAGTTTTTGTATTCGGTCACAAGGTGTAGACATAAATGTTTTATTTTTACATGACAATATTTGTAAGGATGACAAACCTTGACTTGGATCAGGTATAGTAATGTTTTTAGTTTGATGAAAATTGATATTTAATTTCGTTGTAATTATCTTTACGCGACAACAAATTTTATGTTTATGCAGAAAGTAAATACGAGGATGAGGATGTTGATGACAATGAAAATGAATGAGAATTTTCAATAGATAGTTCATCTAATACTAATGTGGAAGGTAATTTTAATTTGATATTGAATAGGAATGAAAATGCACAAGATGGAGGTATTATATAGTGTATAATTTAATTGATATATTTCATGAATAAAGTATATTAACTTGAGGATTTGGTGTTAATGCAGGCATGCTTAAAACTCCTTTCTGGAATTCAAGTATGCATTATACTTATATTAATTAGGAACATGCTGATCAAGAAATGGAAAATTTAGATGTTCATGTAGATGAACCATAGAGAGTGGGTGATGCATTATATATTGGGCAAGTGTTTGAGTCTAAAAATGATGTAAAAATGACTATTAAACATTTTGCAATGAAAACACATCAAAGTTATTTTATCATGGAATCAAAACTAATAAAGTTGCATGTGAAGTGTCCAAATCATACAAGTGAATGCCCTTAGAGAGTTAGAGCAACATTGAGCAAAAATTATATAACAAGTGAAAAATCACAAGATGTGGTGGAACACATACATGTGTTAATCCAATGATGTCTCTAGATCACAAAAAACTTGATTCAAACTTCATTTGCTCGTGTTCTCGGTAAGTTTTACTAAACTAATTGTCGTTTCTAGTTTAAAGATTGTAAATTTTATTGAAGAACGTTACTCAAGAAAGAATTAATGGTTGGTTATCAAGTTTCGTATAAGAAAGAATGGAAGGCAAAACAAAAAGCCATGGTAAAGGTTTTTGGTGATTTAGATGAATCATATGCTACATTGCCCAAATGGTTGGTTGGTGATAAATCCATATTTTACTAGTATTTTACCTTAATTTTAATACCTTTGATAAAGAAAACATGTTGAAAAAAGTAGAGAACTCATAAAAATAATAGAATGATTAAAGTTTTCTCTAAACACAGTTGTTTTAGTATTTATGAATTTTTTGTGTAGAAATTAATGATTCAATCATATTTTTGTAGAAAATTCTGAGCTAAGTTCATGAGGTTGGAAGATCAAATGAAAGATAGAAGAAAAGTAGCAAAAACTGGAATCAAGGAACAAGGTTTAATGAAGCAAGAGCTGGGCGTGATCACTATCGCTGGTGAAAGTGATCGTTCTAGAGCTTGAAAGTGAAGAGAAATCTGCGCGTGATCACTATTGCTAATCACTTTTATCAGGAAAAGTGATTGTTCCAAAGTGGAACATTAAACTGCAGCTTCTGTGTGACTCCTTTCCTGAAAAATAGTAACTCCTTTCATCAATCAAAGCTTTTCAGGAACTCAAATACCTCACTTATTCAACTCTAATCCTTTCGTTATAGACTCAACATGAAACCTCAATTCATTCAACAAATTATCTCCAAAATACAGATGAAACAGAATCACAGAAAGTGAAATTGCAGAAAATGAATAACAAAAATTCAAATATAATGCAAATAGAGTAAAATAGTTCAGAAATGTGAGTTGCCTCTCACAAAATGCTCTTTTAACATCACTAGCTAATGTTCCTTACTGCTGAGGAACCAAGTTAATGCATAAATTATTCCTGATGACTTCTCCTCCATGGTAGATTTTTAACCTTTGGCCATTTACTTTAAATTCTCCCCCTTCTTTCTGATCTTCAAGTAATACAGCACTAAAGGGAGAAATTTCTTTCACCATAAAGGGTTCTGACCATCTTGACTTGAGCTTTCTAGGAAATAACTTCAATCTTGAATTGAATAGCATAACTAGTTGTCCTGGTCTGAATTCTCTCCGCAAAATGAATTTATCATGTATTCTTTTAGTCTTCTCCTTATACAGTTTTGCATTTTCACATGCAAATTGTCTGAACTCTTCCAGCTCATGTAGTTGCAGCACTCTCTTTTCTCCAACATTGGTTAAATCAAAATTTAACGCCCAATATGCTTTATGTTCAAGTTCCACAGGGGGATGACAAGCCTTTCCAAAAACTAGTTGATATGGTGACTTACCAATTGGTGTTTTGAATTCTGTCCTATATGCCCAAATTGTGTCATCTGGCTTCCTTGACCAGTCTTTTCTTGAATTATTTACCACTTTCTCCAAGATTTTCTTGATTTCTCTGTTGAAGATTTCAACTTGTCTACTTGTATGAGAATGGTAAGGTGTTGTTATTCTGTGTTTTACTCCATACTTTTCCAGAACAGATTCAAGGTATTTGTTGCAGAAGTGTAATCATCCATCACTTATCAGAATTCTTGGTACTCCAAATCTTGCAAAAATATTCTTCTTTATGAATGAAATCACCACTTAAGCTTCATTTGTTCTAGTTGGTATAGCTTCCACCCATTTAGATACATAGTCCACTGCCACAAGTATAAATTCATGAGAGAAAGAGGTTGGAAAAAGTTCCATGAAGTCTATTCCCCACACATCAAACAATTCCACCTCCAAGATATTGTTCAAAGGCATCTCATGTCTTTTAGAAATGTTGCCCACTCTTTGGCATTTGTCATAGTTTTGTACATAGACTTTTGCATCTTTGAACAATATAGGCCACAAAAAACCAGCCTGTATAACTTTGGCAGCTGTCCTTGATCATCCATGATGACCTCCATAATCTGAATTGTGGCAGTGCCATAGGATATCAGTTTGCTCTTTTTGTGGAATGCATCTTCTCAATATACCATCCACTCCAATTTGAATAGATGAGGA